AGGCCCCTCCTCTCAGCGGCCCGACCCGCGGGCCTCCGACGCCTGAGCTGCGGCGTGAAGAGGGAATGGGCTCCGTTCCAGCGGTTCTCAACCTCCTGGCCCTTTAAATACAGTTCCTCATGTGTGACCCAACCGTAAAATCATTTTCGTTGCTACTTCATAACTGTCATGTTGCTACTGTTATGAATCGTCATGTAAATATCTGATCTGCAGGATGGTCTTAGGCGACCCCTGTGAAAGGGTCGTTCGACCGCCAAAGGGGTTGCGACCCACAGGTTGAGAACCGCTTTAGGCCGCCGACGCTGGTGGCTTCCCAGCCTCGCTCTCCCTCTCCCGCTCCCGGGACCACGCGCCTGGGCGAGCTGATGCGAAAGCCTGGCTGTTCCCCCTTCTGGCCCCGCCATCCAAACCCCAAACCAGTTCGCTTCCTGGGCCCTCTCGAGCCATGTTCAGAGGCCCGTCCTGCTGCGTCCAGAAAAGCCTCCTTATTTAAGTAGGACATTTTCTTCAAACACTGTGTGTGCGCGCGCATGTGTGCATGTGTGTGTGCGTGCATGTGTGTGTGTGTGTGTCGTCACACGCCGACGTCAGAACCACGTTTTGGGTGGCGTCTACCCTGCTCCTGCAGGATGATCGCAATACAAATGAAGCAAGACAAGGGACCGTCCTCTCTACGACCACCGGCTGCTTCCTTGTGCAGAATCAGCTTGCTCGTCTGTCTTTTCTCCTTCCTGAGCTGCATGTCTGCTGCTCAAGTCCTGGAAGCTGGACACCCTTCGCAAATCAAATGCACCTCTTGCAGCTTTAGCCGGATGGCTCCATGGATAGAGCGTCAGCCTGCGGACCAAAGGGTCCCGGGTTCGATTATCTTGGTTGCAGGCTCCTCCCCACTCCAGTCCTTGGTGGGGGCTCGTTCAGGAGTCAACCAATCGATGTGTTTCTCTCACATCAACTTTTCTCTCTGTCTTTCCCTCTCTCTTCCACTCTCCCTAAAAACCAATGGAAAAATATCCTCAGGTGAGGATTAACCGGAAAAAAAAAAATTCACCGTTTTGCAAAGCAAATTCATCCTTTGCAAAGCAAATTCACTTTGGGGTGAAAATAGAGTAAAATAAAACAATAAAGTCACTTTTTTTGTGATTGTATTCATAGTTAAGGCATGCATAAAGCCAGTCGTATTGACTGGCATTCGATAGGTGATCAATTGATACATATACATTTATTAATTTGATCTTATATTGTAAACAGTTTTCTTTCAATTGGTGAGCCACCGTAACTTCAAATCACAAAGTACTTACAAAAAATTACACTTTCCCATAAATGGTATGATACCAAGGTAAGTTAAATGTTAATATGCACATGTGCACAACTGAACACAGTCTAGGGAGTATGCGTCTGGGAAAGGTAGAACTTCAATTCTACGTAGTTTCTTATGCAGTGTTCACAACAACGAAAAAGATAGTGCATCGCAGCATGTTTTCATTTTTCTCTGAACCTAACTTTGTGATAACGTTAATAGGCTTTTTACATATTTTGATTCCATTAAGGTATTTTTACATAAATCCTGAATTTTTTTTCAGACCCTGAAAATGGATACAACATCAAACACTGAGTCAAGCTCTGGAAGGTCATTGGCAACACGCATCCTCCGAGGAATGCAACACCATCGTGGGAAATGAAGGGATCCGGATCAGAAGCCCCGTTGTCCGACGGAGTAATCCACCGACATACGATCGTACCAGCCACGATAAATAAAAGGTTTTAATAAAATGTTACGAAGATGGTAGAACGGTAAATGAATCAGCTGCCATCGCCAGTATTAAAAACCATACGGCAAAGTCAATTATTTACCAGTATAAGAAGAATGGTTGCGTGTTGATAGAAAAAAAACCGCGGAGGTAAGAGAAGTAGGAAGTTAAACGCCTCGATATTAAACAAAATTGAGCAAATAATTGAAGAAGATCCGTGCGTAACTTTAAAAGGAATTCGTGACAAGATTCTCAAATCTAAACAACTCTGTGCTGTAAGCAAGCATCCCGGGGAGCCAGGGCAGGTAATGGAAGACAGCTAGGCCCCCAGCGATGCCCGCGATGGAGGCGGGGCCTAGAGATGGTGCGGGGCGGGGCTTGAGCGGGAGGCGGAGTCGAAGGTCGGCGCAGG